CATTATTAAAATTTTAATATTCTAACACAGTTTCGCTCTTCTTCAAGAATACCTAATTCCCATTTCCCTTATTACCTGCGTTTGAGAAATACATTAATATTTTCTAAGTCAATTTACATTTTTATAAAATGTTATAAAACATCTTTCCTTAAATATTTATTGGGAAAGTTTCAGAGAAGTTGAGTTTTGTAGGGCAGTAAATTGTTTTTATTATTAAGCAAAATTTTCCTCTCCAAATAAATTGATAATACTCTTTTTTTGGTCAGTTGTTATATCAAAAGGGTGAAAAATGGCAAGTGTGCTTTGGAGAAAGAGTATTTAGTTTTACCATTTAGCAACTTTCTGATTCCAGGTCTATCTAATGTTTTAGCTTCCTTTATAGTATAATTAAAATGATAACAATACATTATCATTATTTTTAAGTTCAAATGATGGTTCAAATGGTACCCTACAGGAATACACCCCAATAAGTGCCGCTTATAAATATGACTATTACTATTATTTTATTGTTAATATTGTTGATATGATCAAAATTATATTGTTAAAGATAAAAATGACAGTAAATATATGGTCAATTTTGGTTTCTCATATCCTTCACCAACTTACCATTGACTCCCAACTTCAGAGTCCCCAGTGGGGGAGATGGAAGAATTTGGAATGGGACTGACATATATACATAAAATTTGCCCAACATCTACTCAATTGTTTTCCATTTAGCCATGATGTACAGGTAGGGTTGAGAGAAAAAAAACACAGTGAAGCTTCTTTTTTGCTTTCTTGTTGTTGTTGTTGTTGTTAACTTCTCAATTAAAGCTGCACTATGATTTCCGGTAAGTTCTTTGAGAAACTGTTGTCTAGGGAAAATAAGCCAGGCATACCATGATTGATTGTTCTCCCAACTTCAAATGACTCTTAACACTTTGGAAATATCAAGATGAAAGGAAAAATCTAATCCTATCATTAAATTTTTATTAGACCTAAGATGTTCTTTATTAGAAACTTGTACCGAGTGAAGTATGAAATACTACATGGGTCTACAAATAAATTGCTACTTTTGCAATGAACTTGGTATATTTAATTTTTGAAACTTTCATGTCCTGATGGTTTCTGCCTGAACTGTTTTCTTTAAAATTCTCTGTAACTTCAAAAGGAAATCTATTGAGTTGTGAAATAGGAAAATAAGATACGTATATAGAGGGAGGGTAATAATGATAAAACATCTTAGCGAACAAAGGCAGAAAATAGACTATGATAAATAAAACAGAGCTGGGCTGACAAGGTAGCCCCAGGCAGAAGGATAAAATGACACTGTATTCCACACTCAAGTCGCATTATCCGAACTGGCAGTAAGATTCTAACAGGATCTGTCGAACTAGCACCGACATGACAAAAGATGCCGCAGATTTCTAATCCGATCTAGTGCACATCAAGCCCTGTGCTTGAGTGCATACAATTTCAGATGCAAGATACATTCTTAAAAAGGTCTCTTAAGCAAAGTAAAATATTCTCTAAGAACTTTCCGCTTTTTCAACACTCTTATTTCCAAGTTTCTATGATTTTTTTTGAAAAAAAAAAGGACATGAACAGAGAACACAACTGGAGACAAAGAGCTGTCTAAATTCAGCTCTTTCCGCATTGCTTTTTCATCCCTTCGTTCTCTGTCACAAGCGGTTCTTCAATACTATAAAGCTGGTGAGAGAAAAAGAGAAAAGGAGTAAACAAGATTGTTGTTAGTTGTTAGTACCAGAGAGTTGGTTCTGACTCATAGCAACCCAATAGCTAACAGACTATAAGACTGCTGAGTTCGGTGACATCCTCACAGCCGTTGTCACTTAGCGCTCATCTTTGCAGCCACGGTGTCAACCCGCCTTGTCAAGTGTCTTCCTCATTTTTGCTGCCCTTCCACTTTATCAAGCATAATTCTCTTTTCTAGACAGGATGGTCTGGCCTGATAACATGTCTAAAGTACGTGAGACAAAGTCTTGCCGTCCTTCTAAGGAGCATTCTAGTTGTATTTCTTCTAAGACAGATGTGATTGTTCTGGAAGCTCTCAGTACTTTCAATAGTCTCCAGCAGCACCGTAATTCAAACTCACAGGCTCTTCTTTGGCCTTCCTTATCCAATGTCCAACTCTCACATGCATATGACTGTGGCTTGGTTTAGGGCACCTTAGTCCTCAAAGTAACATCCTTGTTTTCAACACTTTTAAGAAGTCTTGTGCAGCACATTTACACAATGCAATACACCTTTATATTTCTTGATGGCTACTTCCATGGGCATTGGCTGTGGATACAGGCAAGATGAAATCCTTAACAAACTTAATCTTTCTTGGTTTATCATGATGTTATCTATTAAGCCAGTTGTCAGAATTTTTGTTTTCTTTACACTGAGTTGGAATCCATACTGAAGGCTGCAATTATTGATCTTCACCAAGCGCTTCAAGTCCTCCTCACGTTCGGTAAACAAGGTTGGGCCATCTCCACATCATAGGTTGTTAATAAACCTTCTTCCGATCCTAATGCCTCCTTCTTCTTCATATGATGCAGCTTCTCTGATCATTTGATCAGCATACAAATTTTAAAAGTATGGAAAAAGGTTATAATCCTGGTGCACACTTTTTCTGATTTTAAAACTATGCAGTATCCCCCTATTCTATTGATACAACTGCCTCTTGATGTAAGTACAAGTTCCACACGAACACAATGAAGTGTTCTGGAAATCCCGTTCTTCTCAACGCCATCCACAGTATGTTATGATTCACACAATGGAATGTCTTGGCACAGTCAGTAGCCAGAAGTAAATATCTTCGTGGTATTCTTTGCTGTCAGCCAAGATGCATATGACATCAGTAATGATATCCTTTGTTTCACGTCCTCTTTGGAATACAGCTTGAACCTCGGCCAATGTACTGCCAAAACTGTTGGATGATCTTCAGCAAAATCTTATTTGCATGTCAAATCAATTATATTGTTCTATAATTTGCCTATTCTGTCGATTGACCTTTCTTTGGAACGGGTACAAATATAGATATTTTCCAGTCAGTTGCTAGATAGCTGTCTTTCAAATTTCTTGGCAAAGATGAGTGAGTGAGTCCATGCTTTATCAACTTGTTGAAATCTTTCCATTGGCATTCTGCTAGTTTCAGGAGCCTTGCTTTTAGCTAATGTCTTCTGTGCATATTAGACTTCTTCCTTCAGGACCACTGGTTCTTGTTAATATGCTACGTCCTGGAGTGGTTGGAGATAGACTACTTGTTTTGGTCTAATGACTGTGTGTTCTTTCTACCTTCTTTTGATGTTTATAGCATCATACAATAATTGTTTGAGTAATACAACCTGAGGCTAGATTTTTTTATGTTTAATTCTTTCCGTTTAAGGTATGCTGAGCATGGTCTTCCCTTTTGGCTGTCTAACGCTAGGTCTTTACATATTTCATTATAATCCTTTACTTTGTCTTCTTGAGCTGCCCTTCAGAATTTTCTCTGCAGTGTTTTTACTTCATAATTGTTTCTAATCGCCTTAGCTACTTTATGAGTGTGCACAAGAGTCAGAGAATCATGTGCTATCCATTTTAATATTTTCTTTCTTTCCTATCATTTTAATGACCTCTTATGTTCTACCTGTCTGATGTTCCTGACGTCTTCCCATAGCTATTCAGGGCTTCTATGACATTATAGCCAATGCATCAAATCTGTTGAGATGTTCTCAAAATGCAGATCGGGTAGACTCGAGGTCATATTTTGGCTCATAGACTTGTTTTCCTTTTCTTCAGCTTCTATCTGAACTGAGATATGTGCAACTGATGATCTCTTCCACAATACGTAGCCTAGTAATAATTAAATAAAAGTCACACTGAAAACCACCTTAAAGTATTTCTATGCTGGCACCTATTTGAAAGGGGAAGGATCCAAAAATGAGGGCTAGACATGGAAAAGGAAAGAAAATTTAGGAAAACTATTTTTTTCCCTGAGAATTTTTCAGCTGTGTTTGTTCAACTCCTTGCTGTTTTCTCAAATGAACAGCAAGAAGACATGTAATTTGGCTCATTAATTAGCACTGAGCACAATAGTAAGTAACTACTGCCAACACCTATGATGTGCTTGTGAATTTTTAACAAATGGCTCTCAAGGTAAGAGGGGCCCTGGTAGGTAGCTTTTACCTGATTTCTGTGGTGTAAATACTTCAGCATAGCCCACTTCAAACTTCAGCAGGACAACAACAATATCACGAAACTCTTGACAATGAAACTAACAGCTCTCTTGAACTGGTTCAAGCTGGGCCCAGAGCACCACTGGCAACAAATAGAGATGCCAAGGAAGCAAAGTTCCGTTAGAGAGGGATACACTGCCACCTGGGGATATCAGCTCTGTAACAAAGCAGATCAAAAGAGACTCGTGAGTGTCCAAAGAGTTATCAGGGAAAAGCCTAGGTCCCATGCTTGCTCAAGAGAGGCTATAAACTCTGCTATACTTAAAGAATAAGTTTAGGTTCCAATGAGGATGAGTGGTGTCTTACAGTTCTCCCATCATTTATGATTTTCACACACTTGAAATAGATAATGATAAAAAGGTAGATGGAGCTATAGAGGGGAAACGTTTTCCGACTGACTGGAATAATACTGAACTCAACTACTGCCTACGTGGACTTTAAAGAACTGTGATGGAGCAGATGTTACTTGCTCTCATGTCCACAGACAGGTTGACCGCTCAAACCTACCCAGTGATTCCATCCCGGTAATTTGCTTCCACACAGATCAACCACTCACTCACTGTCATCGTCAATTCTGACTCAAGAGTGTCACACAGTCAGCGCTACATTGCAGGACAGAGTAGAACTGCCCCTGTGCATTTCCGAGACTGTAAATCTTTACTGGAGTAGAGAGCCTCATCTTTCTCCCACGAAACTGGCAGCTTTGAACTGATGACCTCTTGTTCAGTAGCCAACCTGTACCCAGCCCATAGGGCATTTTTATGATGTCACATGAGGTGGCTGTGAGTAGGAATGCCCTTGACGACACCTGATGACAACACCGGTAGGACCCTAGTTGTTACTCATCAACAGTCCCTGTGTCTGCTGGATGTGACAGAGGTAAGTGCTTTCCAAGGAAATTAGTACAAAATAATGCACTGAACATTTCCAAATTAGTACAAATAATACACTGAACATTTCCACTGACCACATGCTGAGAATGGTAAAACTTATCATTTCTATCCAGTGTGTGTAAAATGAAAGCATTTTTCCAAATCTAAAAATGCACAGATGCACAGGATGAAACTTTAATTTTAATAGTGCTTTTTTTTGGTTCTAATTAAGCCAATTGTAGATCTCTTTGTGGCTACACAGTAATTTTCCTTAGGTAGTTAATTAGAGACTTCCAATTTATACCTGTGTCTGACTGAACACAAAGGAAAGGAGTAAAGGTAAATTAAGATTGGAAAAGCCTCAGATGACAGAAGAGATTGCAAATGCTATTAAAGATTTAAGCGGCTGGGGGAGTGACGGAATGCTAACTTTATGGCGTTCTTGGATATTTGCATAGTAGAATACTCTTGTTAGACTTGGAAATGTGGTGAAATATATAGAAGTCAGATGGAAAGGGAATTTTTGCCACCTTATAATTTGAAAATAGCAGACTAACGTTCTAAAGCAGTGATTCACTCTGTGTGTGTGTCTGTCTCTCTGTGTCTCTTTTGCTCTTTCTCTCTCTCTCCCCTTCTCCTTTTATTAAAATCCTTGGATCTTTTTTAATTCAAACTCATCAGAAATTTCCTGGGCCATTAAAACATGTATATGGGTGTCTGGCGTGGGGTCACTTTAAGACGGTGGTTAGAATGGTGGGTTTCTGCAGGCCACGGAGTCACACCCATACAGCCTTGCCTCTGGACCCAGGCCAAGTAATTTCAGAGCCTGCCTCTGCACTGGCTACTGGGAGGAGCTGTAGCAAGTCACTTCATCAGTGAGTTTTTATTTTCTTCTTTCTAATATGATGATAACATTATGTTGCAATGTAATACTGAGGACCTTTTCTATTTTGAAATAATTTTTAACTTACGTAAGTGTCTCCCTTGATGTCGAGGCCAGAGCAAGTGCTCAACAATGTGAGAATACACCCCCTGCTAAGGTTTTCAAAATCTCTCTTCCTACTATCTCAGCTGAGTGGAAAAAATCAAACACTATGTTTTTCTGCCACAAAAATCAATGATCAGTTTTGTTCCATCCTGTTCCTCCTCAGATCTGGCATCAGCTGCACATCAGTACTGCTTCCTCTGACCCAAGCGGCCTAATTACCCGAAGTCCCTGAGCACTCACAAACAAAAAGGACACAGTGTTCCAGTCTGTTAAATCTGCCCGAGATCTTAGAAACCAGCAACCAGCTTGGGAGTCTCCACAACACTTTTTCTCCTGACTGTTGGTTACAAATTTGAGCATTCCCTCTACCATCCATCTGATGGTACCAACCATAATCATAAGTACAAGAGTCCGCAAACTCCTCACTTCTGACCTGATGGCTCTCTCCATTCCCAACAATTCAATAATCTTCTAGAACAGTTCACAGAACCCATAAGAAAGCATGGCACGCTATCTGCTATATACATCAACCACCACATCTTTCACCTAATAGGATGCTTCTGTGGCTAGAGTCTTTATTGAGAGACTCATTATGTAGAAATGATGATTGAATCACATCCCTCACAAGCCTGTCTTCTGAGATGTCTCTAGGTAGGCTCAAATTTCTACCCTTTCAATTAGCAGTCAACTACATTGACTGTTTGCATAACCTCTGGACCCCAAATTGGCTAGTAGTCTATTAGTCTTTTAAGTTTCATTGGCTTCTGTGTGAAATCTCAAATATGTATTTAAGGAATATAATACTCATCTTTTAACAAGTCATTTTTTTTTAAAATTTGGATTTAGTGCATGTATCATATCACTCCATAGTTCAATCATGCCAAGAAGAATTGTACAATTACTACCACAATCATTTCCAAACATTCTTTTTCTACATGGACTCTTTGACATCATATCCCATTTACCCCACCAGCACCACTGTACCCCCTTCCCCGCAAAACCCTTATTCTACTTTCTGTCTCTATTGTTTCCTCAATCCTGGGTTTCATACACAGAGAAATGGAAAAACATACAACACAACTTCAAGAGGGTGACCTTCAATGACATGACACCTCTGAGATACACCCTAGAACAAACAACACAATACAAACCCAAAACATAGAATTTTGGAAGCCAGATCAGGTACAGCATGCATCTTAGGGATGTGCTGACAAAGTGTGAACTGTTCAAGTCAGATTTATGCTTTTGATCTTCTATACTTGTCTCTCCAATGCACTCTGTTTAGTACTGCCACTTTCCTCCCACCCCTCAACTGTAGATAGAGGGAGTTCTCTGGAGACTTATTTCCTATGTGGTTCCCAAATGAATCTGGGGCTCCCACTGTCAACCATCGCCTTCTGCAAACTGGATTGTTACTATTTAGGCTCTGATACTAGTCTCTCCTTCAACTTCAGGTGATATGGTTTACAATCCCTCGGTGACTGATGATGGTGTGCTCGTTCCATGTGAACCTAATTGGCATCTCACTTATAGGGCTGCTAGTTTGGAAACAAGCCTTTAAGATCCCAGACACTATTTTATCTGATAGCTGGGCACCATCTAAATTCTTCACCATATTTTGCTCTAGCACCCATGTCTTCTGTGTTCCCTTTCTGAGGGCGAGTATTGAGCAGGGCCATCAGGTAAGAAGTAATTGTTCTCCAACTAGTCGTTGCAGCTAAGATTCAGTGCTAGCCCCAAACCCATTTCTGGATTTATGTTTTTTGCTGTTTATGTTTTGTTTGTTGCTTTCTTTTCTTTTCATTTTTTATTACTTGGGAGTTAATATATATGCTTTTATCATTCCGTAGTTCAATCTCGTCAAACAGAATTGTATGATTGCTTCCATAATCAGTTTCTAAATGTGCTTTTCCTTCCTGGTCTGGTTTTACATTTAGATCTTTGACCCACCTTGAGTTTGTTCTTGAGCATGGAGTGAGATATAGGTCTTATTTCTTTTTTTTTTTTTGCAGGTGGATATCCAGTTTTTCCAGTACCATTTATTGAAGAGGAAATTTACTTCCCATTTAATGTTTTGGGGGCCTTTTCAAAAACCAAAAGTTCTCTGTATGTGGGTGTTTTTATTTCTGGGTTTTCTGCCCTGACCTATTGATCTATGTACCTCATTGTACCAGTCCCAGGATGTTTTGACACCTGTGGCTGTATAGTAGGTTTTAAAGTAGTGCAAGGCCAACTCTTCTTTTTGAAGAGTACTTTGCCTACCCCAGACAGAGGAATTAGCTTTTATATTTCTTTGAAGAATGATGGTGACATTTCCTAATTTGAACAAACTTTTTTTTCTCCTTCAAGTTTGATGGAGAGTTTTGCTGGATAAAGTATTCTTGGATTGCGATTGTTATCTTGCCACTTTCGGAATATGTTGTTCCAATTCTGCACTTATTCTTATCTATTTACCTTTATATGTGACTGCCTTTTACTCTTTAGCTGCTCTCAGGATTCTGTCCTTTTCTTTGAAGTTAGATAATTTGACTACTATATGTCTTGATGTGTTTTAGGGGGTTTAATCTAATTGGTGTTCTTTATGCTTCCCAAATGATTATCATCTCCTCCTTTTTGATATTGAGGAAATTTTCTTCCAAGAATTCCCTGCTAGTTTAAATGTAGGCTTGTGTTTCTTCCTTCTCAGACACCCTAATCATTCGAATACTGTTTTACTTCATGATATCCCACATCATCCTCAGGCTTTCTTCAGATTTTTTGCTTTCTTGTTTGATTAGTTCTCTTGTTCACTGAATTCTGCTGGGTTATCTTCAAGTTCACTGAATTGATTTTCCACTTATTCTATTCTATTGGTCTTTGTTCTTTATTTTTTCTTTGTCATCTCTTAATTCCTGCATTTCCTTTGGGTGTGAGGATTCTAGTATCTCCATTTTTTTTTAATCTCTTTTCAGGATTGCTCCCCTAATTTCTTGTATGTCCCTAAGCAACATTCTCATGTATTCTTTATCTGGCAATCCGAGGGCTTCTTTTTCTGTGTATTGCATTGTGTTTGGGTAATCTTCAGTAATTGTTTCTCTTGATTTTTTGTGGCAGCTTCTGGAAGCTGTTGTGCCTCATCGTGGTTGTGCTGAAAATGTTGCAGAGGCTTCTGGGTTGTGTAGAGTGGGAGGGGCTGGCTCTTAGGTTAGGGGAGAATTAGATAGATACTGGAAAACATATTGTGTGTAGATGAGGAGGGAGTGTTAATTGGGTGGGTAGGAGGAATAGGATATAAGTGCTCAAGTGTATGTTTTAAGTGGTGGTATTAATCATAGGAAGTCTTCCAGTTAAGTATACTAACTTTTAATGAGTTGGAGAAGAGGGTTATGGGAGATAAAAATTGACTTGGTAAGTTGTAAGAAGGTATGTGCTACTGAAGTGGAGGAAACAGTGTCTAGAAATGATCGTGGTTGTGGTACATGAGGAATATATTAAATCTATCAACTCTGTATTTTGTGTAGAGAGAGTGCAGCCCTTCAGTTATTGTGTTTCTAACAGAAGGCCCTTTATTGTGGATTTCTGCACAATCCAGAATTACCTGCTTCTTGCATGTGGACCCAGGTTGGAAATAGGCTATTGTAGTGGATACCCAAGCAAGGAGGGATTTCCTATCAGGGTGCCTTCACAGTGTTCGCCAGCTGCCCAGCCAGGGGCAGTGGCTGCCACCCCCCCAAAAAAAGGGAAATTCCGGATTCCATTTCCACTGGTGGGGGCAAAGAGCTTTGTGGTATCTTTCGCAAATGAAATAAGAACACATCTAACAACCTCTTGGAGTTTGCTGCTGATTTGAGCTGCGTTTCTATCTCCCTGCAGCAGGCTCCTTCTCTGGATAGCTGGGGTTCTCCATCAGGAGAGCTGGCCCACAGTCATGTGACATGATCCTTCAGTGCCCTGATTCTGGATCCTGCTTCTACATTCCCAGGATTGGCCTGCTTTGGCAGTGGGGAGGGGAGCCTACCACAACTAGAGAGGGGAATTGA